GGGACAGTGGTGGGGACGGTAGTGGTGGGGACAGTGGTGGGGACAATGGTGGGAACAGGGGGGACAGTGGACAGTGGTGGGAACGGTGGTGGTGGGGACAGTGGTGTGGGGACAGTGGGAATGAGGTGGAAACCCTGGGACAGTGGAGGGTACAATGGTGGTGGAGACACTGGTAAAGGCGGTGGCGAGGACGGCGGTGGGACAATGGGACAGAGGTACAGTGGGGACAGTGGTGGGGACAGTGGGGACAGCGGTGGAAACAGTGGGACATCTCAGTGGGACAGCGGAGGAGTCAGTGGGACAGTGGGGACAGTGGGGATAGGCAGTGGTTGGGTCCGTGGAGACAGTGGGGAGAGTGGAACCGTGGTGGGAACAGTTGTGGGAACAGTGGGGACAGTGCGACAGTGGTGGTGGCATTGGTGGGGACAATAGGGACGGTGGTGGAACCAGCGGGGACAGTGGTGGTGAGGACAGTGGTGCTGGGAACAACAGTGGGGGATGTGATGCGAGCGGTGGTAGGGACCGGGAGTCGTTTGCTGGCGGTGCGTGGGGAGGGGGGTCGAACCGGTAGTGACCCCCCTCCGGTTTTCGAGGGGGGGGGGGGGGGGTTCCACCATAAGTGACCCCCCCCGGTTTTCCGGATCCGGATGGGGGGGGGGGGGGGAGGGAAGGGGTTTCGAACTGGTAGTGACCCCCCCCGGTTTTCGAGGGAAGGGGGGGGGGGGGGGGGGGGGGGGGGGGGGGTTAGGGGAGGGGGGGGGTTGCCGGGAGGGAGGGTGGAGGGGGGGGGGGGGGGGGGGGGGGAGGGGGGGGGGGGGGGGGGGGGGGGGGGGGGGGGGGGGGGAGGGGTTTCCGGCATCCTACGGGGGGGGGGATTTCGGACGTGGGGGGGGGGGACCCCGGTTTACCGTGGAGGACAAAGGTTGGCGAATTTTCCACAGTAAAGCGGCGGTGGATCACGCTCTCTCGTATATATCGATGCAGGTATACATGTATGTCCGAATGTGTACATGTATGTACATATGTACATGATTGTATATATATATATATATATATATATATATATATATGCACAGTTTCACATGCATGATCGCCACCGTAGACCCCACGCAGTGTGTGTGTGTGTGTGTATTCTAGAAGCTTTTGTGGTGCAGTATATGTGGTGCAACATGTGTTGCGTCACCTATGAGGTGCCATACATGCTGTGCAACATCGGTTCTGCAACCGTTGTGGTCCAATCTATGCGGTGCAGTTCGTGTGGTGCAGTATATGTTATGCAATCTATGTTTTGCAATCTGTGTGATGCAATCCATGTTATGCAACCTACGTTGTTCGGTCGATGTTGTACACAGTATTGTGTAATTTATGTGGTGCAACCCGTGTTGTGCAATTTATGCGGTGCGCTCTATGTTATGCAACCTTTGCGGTGCAAACAGCGGGCGGCGACGAGCGGCGATTGGGCGGCGACGGCGAGCACGGAACCGCCAGACCGACACTCAGGCCCAGGCGACAGGCGGCGACGAGGCGGCGACGGGGCGGCGACGGCGAGCACGAAACCGCCAGACCGACCGTCAGGCCCCGACGACGCGCCGCGCCAACGCGGCTACGGGGCGGCGACGGCGATCACGGAAGCACGACCAGTTGTCAGGCCCAGGTGGTTGGTGGCGACGAGGCGGCGACGGGGCGGCGACGGCGAGCGCGAAGCCGCCAGACCGCCCGTCAGGCCCAGGTCCCTAGAGCAGACATGAGGACCCCTTGGTGCATACACTGTTTGGAAAACGTGCACCTATATGTATATATATATTATATATATATATATATATATATATATACAAGCATGCTTAACTGCATATGCATATATGTACGTACATCTGTATATGTATGTATCCACTTATGCATATACGTGCACATATGTGTATATAGTTACGTACTTGTGTGTTTATCCATGTATGTTTGGATGCATCGGCGTACATACGTATACACTGATGCATGTAGAGGTCAGGGTAATTCTATATGTATATGTGCCCGTATGTGTATACATATTTTTGTGTGCTTCTGATATGCCCATCTTTATGTTTATGCTTATGTGCATGTACGTGTATATGTATGTGAACATGTAGGGGCATGTGCACATGCAAACGTACATGAATATGAGATGCGCACTATGTGTATCGGTAGATGCATATGTACACGTACGCGCATATGTTATATATATATATATATATTCAAAAATGAATTTGTAATGCGTATGCAAACATAGGTATGTGTGTATCTATATTCAGGTGCACACGGACATTTATAGGTCGGCGTAGTTGTAGATGTAACTATCGGTATCAGTGTGTATCGGTCGATATAGCTGTGTCAGTATATGTATATGTATATGTCTATGTGCATGTCGATGTATATTTATACGGCGATGTAGTTGTATAATCATGTGTAGTTGTATGTTGTACATTTGTGTATAGGCACTTGGCTTTGTATTTGCATACGTGTCTGCATAATTATATGGATATGTGCATGTGCATATCTGTATACTTTATTTATGTACATATGTCTGGTTATATGTTTATGCATATGTACAGGCTTATGCATACGTTGTTATATTTGTGCATGTTTATGCAATTGTTCATGTATATGAAGATGTGCATGTGTATGTTCATGAGTACGCAAATAGGTATGCTTACGTATGCGTTTACGTATGAACAAGCTATAGGTATAATTGAGTATATATATGTGTGTGTGTGTATGGATCTGTTCCCAAACATGTAGATATACACAATTTTGCGTATGTATATGTTGTACGTTGCTGGGCTGTATATGTAGGTGTGTACGCGTATATATGCAGGCAGATTTCAATGTAAACGTCGATGCATATATCCATCTGTACGTGTACATGCGTTTGGACATGCGTTTGTACATGTGTAAATGTACATGCGTTTGTACATGTACATGCGCATGCACATGCATACTGCTATGTATATGTGGATGTGTGTATCTTTGTATATATATATATATGTGTACATATGTAGTGGTGAACGTATAGGTATGTGTATATACACGTATATGGGGTCTGTACATGTGAGTTTATACTTTCGCGTAGATGGCACTTGCATGTGTATGAATCCATCACGCATCTATCTGTACAAACGCGCATGCACGCACACATTTATACATAATGTCTTTGCGCATGCCATGAATCCACATATTTCGTTGCTTTCGGCCAATCCCGCCACCGCGCCGTGTTCGTAGATGAAGCCTCTGAAACGCCCCTCTATTTGGGTCTTGAGAAGCCTGTGGAAGCCCTCTTGGAGGCCTCTTGGGGCCTCCTGGAGACCTCTTGGGGGCCTCTTGGGTCTTGGGGGCCGCTGCGGGTCTCTTGGGGGCCTCTTGCGGGCCCCCTGGTGGTCTCGCGGGCCACCTTGAGGGAACCGGCTCGAAGTGCCATTTCGTGCTTATCCTCTTGGTTTTTCGGTGCCGTTTAGGACCCGCTTGGTCACTTTGGAGGCTGTTTTGGGGCGACCTTGAGGGCTTGTTGGGCCGTCTTGGACGCTCTGAGGACTGTCGCGAGTCCGATGCAACAGCTTCAGACGTTTCCACGATTTCGGCTTCCTTGCCTGGCTCCCAGGGCCTCCCACGACGACTCATGAGGCACCCAAGAGAGATCCAGGACGTGCTCGGGAGCCATCTTAGGCCATGCTGAAAGCGTGAATTCGAAGCCACGCTCCCGAGGCCTCCCGAGAAGGACGCGAGCCGTCCCGCGAACACCCAGAAGCGTCCGAGAGCGCCCGTGAATGGATCCCCGTAGATGGCCCTTGCCATGCCGAAGATAGTTAATTCTAAACGACCTGGGGACGTTCCACTCATCTCACGGCACGGTGGCCGATATGCATACAGAGTGGCATTCGGTCCATCTCGCCACCGCGCCCAGGTCGTGGACAGGAGGCCTCTTGCAATCCTCCTGGGGGCTTGTGGGAGGCCTCGTGGGGGCCCCGTAAAGGCTGTTTTGGGGCCTCTTGGAGGTCTTTTTGGGGCCTTCTGGGGGCCTCTTGGGGGCCTCCTGGGGGTCTCTTGGGTGAATGATGGCGGTCTCGGGGGCCATCTCGGAGGAAAGGGCCCGAAATATCGGGTCGTGCACCTTCCATCGCGCCCTTCTTTGGCCTCTCTCGTTGCCGTCTTTGGTACCTCGGAGGTCATCCTTGGGTGATCTTTGGGGGCAGCTGTGGCCGTCTTGGGCGCCCGTCAGACCAGGTGAGTATGCGCAAATCGTGCACAGCCTACGGGTTTTCCAACGATTTTGGCTTCCTACGCTGGCTCCCAGGTCTCCAATACGGCGGAAGAGGAGGCCCCAACGGGGGCCCCAGGATGGTCTCTGGGTAAGGTTCCACTGACCGCTGGTATATCCGTGGTCGAACCACTTTTCCATCCCACGTAATCCCGCTGACTCCAGTTACGTCCCTGCTGAGTCGGGCTCAATCCTGGGCCCAGTCCTGCGCACATGCGTTTTCCTGCCCCTCTATCGGGGCTGACCCCTGTGAGTTGTTTCCACGAATGCCTCCCAGGAGCTGCCTCCCACGAAGACCTTTTCCAGCTTGCATCCTCAGCCACGAAGACCTTTGAAGTCTGCACGAAGACCTTTGAAGTTTGCATCCTCAGCCACGCTCCTGAGCCTCCAGGCAATCCGCGCGACGCGCCCCGGGAACACAGCGCGGCCTCGCCCAGGAGGGGGTCCAGAGCTCGGCGGTGCGCCCCCTCGAAGACTCTCTTGCGGTGCTCGGTGCAGAGAGCTCGAAGGGAACGGGGGGCACTCCACTCAGTTATCGCGGCACGCTGGCGGATATGGGTATGCATGTGCATGCACGATTATAGGCATACACATTTGGTACACTCCACATGCTTGTACATGCTTGTGGTCGTGGGGCTATGGCCTGTGGCGCGGCAAGGTGATAATACCCGTCTCTCGATCCTCCTGCCACGCAGCCGCACGATGTTGATGCCGCCAGGCAGCAACAACCATCCGCGAGAAGGAGCAGGCGGACTTCGAGGCGGAGGAAGGAGAGCTGATGGAGGCCCCACCACCTCCGCACAGCTTTATTCAAACTTGGGGTGTTAGGAGAGCAATGGTTGATGGCGTCCGCCATCATGTCATCAGCCCCTGGGGTACGGAGCGATCCGCGCAGCACGACTCGACCGTTCTTGTGATGCCTTCATTCGCTTATTAACGGCCAGGAAGGCACTACGCACAGGTTAGGAGGATGGGGAGGAGAAGGAGGAGGATGAGGACGAGGAGCCGCAGGCGGAGGTGGACGATGCTGGGAGGTGGACGATTGTGGTGATGATGAGGATGGTGGTGTTGATGTTGACGACGACGGGGTATGACTTCGATGATGGCGAAATGACGGCAACAAGGATGATGACTGTGATTTGTCGCCTCCCCCCCCCCCCCCCCCCCTGCCCCCCCCCCCCCCCCCCCCCCCCCCCCCCCCCTCCACCTCCCCCCCCCCTTTCCCCCCCTATTCTTTCCCCCTTTTTTCCCCCTTTCTTTCTCCTCCCCTTTCCCTCCCCCCTACTTGTCGTCTTCCTCCTCCTTCCTCCCCCCCTCCCTCCCCTCTCTCTTCCCCCCTTCCCCCCCCTTCTCTTCCCCGCCCCCTGTCTTTCTGTGAATGATCATTATGATGATGATGATGATGATGATGATGATGATGATGATGATGATGATGATGATGATGATCATTATGATGATGATGATGATGATGATGATGATGATGATGATGATGATGATGCTGATGCTGATGCTGTTGATGATGATGCTGATGATGATGATGATGATGCTGATGCTGATGATGATGATGCTGATGATGATGATGCTGATGAAGGTGTTGGTTGCGATGACAATGACGATGACGATGAATATTGGGATACTGTGGTTGTGGTAATACTGATGATGCTGGTGGTGATGATGGCAATGATGATGACGATGATGGCGACGATGCCGATCATGACAGTGGTGATGAGGAAGACTGATGATGACGATGACGATGACGATCCCGAGGGTGATCGTGGTTGCGTTGATCACGATCGTTATGATGACGACAACAACGACGTGATGATGGCGATGATGGTGATGACGGTGGTGGTGCTGATGATGGGGTTGGTGATGATGATGCCGATGATAGCGAGGACGGGTGATTCGATGATGGATGATGATGGTGATTCTGAAGAGGAGGAGGAGGCGGAGGCGGAGGAGGAGGAGGAGGAGGAGGAGGTGCGGAGGACGAGGGGGAGGAGGAGGAGGAGGAGGAGGAGTGAGGAGAGAGGAGGAGGAACGGAATGAAATAGCAGTTAGCACCATCAGAAGATCCAGGCGACCTGCGCTGCGCATCCATCCATCAGCATAGACCTACACTTCTCACCAGGATTATCCCCTCCTTCCCCTCCTTTTGTTTTCTTTCTCCCCTTCGACTCACCTCCCTCCCCCTCCTTACCCCATCCTCCTCTCCCTCATCCTCACTCCTCCACCTACACTCCTCCTACACTCATCCCATTCAAACCTCGTGAGGGTTGCTGCTCGAGTCGAGCCACCAAGCTCGACTTGCCAGTCCGCTGGCAGCGTTGCCAGTCCGCTGGCAGCGCGCCGCCACGTCGACACGGCATCACCAAGGGTGTCTGCGGCTCGGTCGGTTCGGCTGCTTCACAGCCGGTTGTGTTCGATCGCGGGTTTCGGCACAGTCATCGTGCTACCTGAAGGGGCGCTGAGCCCGGACATGTCGCGCCCCTGACCAACGACGTCCAACATCAACCGAATGGGCGGCATTGCTCATCGACTTCCAACATTAACCGAATGTAGCCGGCAAACCTCTGCGGTGAAGCAAATAGTGCTGAACACGCCCGTCTGTTCGCCAGCGTGGCAGTGCGGGCCCCCGGATCTCATGCGCCGCTGCGTCCTTCTACGGCAGGTCCGCGTCGTGTCGACGCGGCGGCGATTCCGTCGCGGGCCTTCAAGGTTGAACGCCGCCAGTGGCCCAAAGTCGGCCAATGTGGAACGATTTGGTGGCGATCAGGAAGCCGTTGATCTTTCAGGGTTTAACGGTCCACGCGGTTCCAGAAACCAACAGAAGATTCCCGTGATTGTCACGACGCGAACTTGCCGTACGCTGCTTTGGGTCCGTCGGTTTCGACCGATTATTGTTCCGCTGCTGATTCGGTCGGGTTTCGAGTTTGGCGTCGCCGTGGTCGTCCATGATCGCCTCTGCAGTCGCAGGAGAGATGCATGCTGTGGGGAGGGGAGGGGGACGCGGAGGATGAAGAGGGAGAAATGCCCATCATCGACTTGCCACTGTCAGTGCAGCCACTGCTGCCATGGCGAGCATCTCCACCGCTGCCGTTAGCGTCCCCATCATACTGAGCGACCGCCCATTGCCCGTGCCACAGATCGTGGACACGCTGAAGCGGGCCATCAGCATCCTCGAGCGTGAGATGGCCAAGGCCTGCTGAAACCCTCGG